CAAACTACGAGATATTTAACCTTTCTGTTGTCCTCAGGTCAAACTTTGATATACTTTATTAATCCCTCGTGGGGAAATTGTTTCTCTGCATTTGACCCATCCTAGTGTTAGGAGCAGTGTGCTGCCATTTTGAACGGCGCCCGGGGAGCAGTGTGGGGAACGGTGCCTTGCTCAGGGACACCTTCCAGTTGCCAAGCCAAGTCCCTATCGACTTCGCCACCACCGCCCCAAACTTGACCCGTTTCCAATTGTTTTTGTGGGAATAAGAGGCTTTTTTATCGAATTGCCGGGAAAATACCATGGATGGTTCCTTACTAGGTTATTTTCAAGTTAATGTTTACTACCTATATTGAATTATGGGTGTATTATTCCATTTTAAAGCGTCGGTGGTCTTCCGGGGTCCATTTTGTGAAATCATCAACATTTCTGCCCTTTCTTGGAAATTAATCTGAATTATTAGACTGAATAAAGTTGTGTTAAAAGGTGTATTAGAGATGTGGGTGATGATGTATATGATAGGGCTGCTCGATTATGGCAAAAATCATAATCTGGATTATTTGGGTCAATAATTGTAATTGCGATTATTAATGTGATTATTCATTGACTTTGAAAACATCCATTTATTGGAGAAAAAAAATGTGAACAGTTTGTTTTTAACAGTTGATTACCCTGAACTTTAAGTATAACTCAACTGAAGAACAAAAAAAAAAGTAATAATAATAATACAAAAATAATCGTTTTATTTCGATTACGATGTTTTCGTAATCGTTGCAAGCCATAATCGTAATCGCGATTCAAATACGATTAATTGAGCAGCCCTACTATATGATTGATAAAGAGTCCAACCAGGCAGACAAAAGTTGCACAGTTGACGGAAAGACATTGCCTAGAGTTAGATGAGAGCATTGGTACCACTCTCATCTGTTTGGTAAACATTAAGCTAGACCTTTTTAAATGGGTTAGCTTAGCATAAAGGGTGGACATTAGGAAGTAGCTAGCCTCCTCTCCGCCTGATCTCTGTGATTAACTTCATCGATTGTCCGTTCTGTCGTGTGTCATGGCTGATTCAGACGTGCTGTGTTCGAGAATAGAAAAACCCTCAGCGCTGACAGCCATGTTGCAAAGTTTAGAAGTCGACCTCTGACTCTGTGATTTCTTTGCTACTCCACGAGAGTGATGTCATTCTCACTGCTCAGGCCTCATGCAGCTGAGAGCAGACCTTCTGCAGGCTAAATGAGGAGGGGGTTTCCCTCGGAGACCTGCAGAAACATCACGCTGTTTCCTCGGTTCAACACAGTGATGTAACAGAGCTGAAAGAGGATAAGTGCGCATGCATACGTGCTGGCCTGCGAGATCTCGGCTGTGGTTCCTCTTCAGTCACTCCAATGAAAATAAAAATGCAGCTTGTGGTTGGAGGAGCACGGCTCTGCTTTGTCTGGCTCTCATAATTCCCCACAAACCCTCGTCTGAAATCCCATCCTCTGCTGTCCGCTTTTTAATTAACTTCAGCACAGTCCTCACACTGACAAAAGAGAGGCGTCTGCCAGTGAAACTCGTGATGTTGTCCATATTTGACAGTGAAGTGCATCACAGCATTTCAAGCACTTTTCTGGAGGGTTGTCTCACGATGAGGCAGAGAGACGGAGCTGTGTGAGCGGCTGCAGAGCGACAAGAGCGAGTGGCGATTGATCTTCAAGTGGAGCCGCCTGCCAAGAAGTGTTGGGAGAGTTGGGCTGGCGATCTGTGGGCTCCACGCTGGGCCGAGGGACCACAGATGGGCCATCTGGTGACTCACTGGCACAGGACAGGGCTTTTCTGTTCGCCGTGTGGATGTGTGTGGATGTGTGTGAGCATCAGCGACAGACTGGACCACATGGTGTGAGGAGACCACCTGTCTTGTGGTTCCTCTTCTCTTTCATGTGTGGTCAGCAGCGCCATACTCTGATGCCACAATATCTTACTCTCTTTAGGGCTTAAAGGGGCCCTATTATGCTTTTTGGGGCTTTCCCTTCCCTGTAGTGTGTTTATATAGGTTTTTGTGCATGTAAATGGTCTGCAGAGCCGGCCAGCTAACCAATCAGAGCAGCCTGGGCTCTGGTTTCAGACAGAGGGTGAAAAGAGGTGCCGCAGCACAGGCAGTATGAGAAAAATAAAGAGCTTTTTGAACATTAAAGCATGGAGACATGTAGAGACACTACATACTGATATACACCTGAACATCAGCAGGAGAGGACTCTTTAAAGTAGAGACACTACATACTGATATACACCTGAACATCAGCAGGAGAGGACTCTTTAAAGTAGAGACACTACATACTTGATATACACCTGAACATCAGCAGGAGAGGACTCTTAAAGTAGAGACACTACATACTGATATACACCTGAACATCAGCAAGAGAGGACTCTTTAAAGTAGAGACACTACATACTGATATAGACCTGACCATCAGCAGGAGAGGACTCTTTAAAGTAGAGACACTACATACTGATATACACCTGAACATCAGCAGGAGAGGACTCTTTAAAGTAGAGACACTACATACTGATATACACCTGAACATCAGCAGGAGAGGACTCTTTAAAGTAGGAGACACTACATACTGATATACACCTGAACATCAGCAGGAGAGGACTCTTTAAAGTAGAGACACTACATACTGATATACACCTGAACATCAGCATAGTAAGGCCCCTTTAATAGAAGTTTGTCTACTGTTAATGCTCATTTAGCAGCGTTACTCTTATTTTAGTTTTTAATGCCACTCACAAATAGGACACCACATGTACAAACCACCCTGTGACTCAGCCCCCCAGGCTGTAACTCGTTGAATGGCCTTGTTTATCGCTTTTATGAAAAGTTCTCTGGCAGGTGTGTGTGTGGTGTGTGTGTGTGTGTGTGTGTGTGTGGTGTGTGTGTTGTGTGTGTGTGTGTGTGTGTGTGTGTGTGTGTGTGTGTGTGTGTGTGTGTGTGTGTGTGTGTGTGTGTGTGTGTGTGTGTGTGTGTGTGTGTGTGTGTGTGTGTGTGTGTGTGTGTGTGTGTGTGTGTGTGTGGGTGTGTGTGTGTGTGTGTGTGTGTGTGTGTGTGTGTGTGTGTGTGTGTGTGTGTGTGTGTGTGTGTGTGTGTGTGTGTGTGTGTGTGTGTGTGTGTGTGTGTGTGTGTGTGTGTGTGTGTGTGTGTGTGTGTGTGTGTGTGTGTGTGTGTGTCAACATGGACACTGGAGATGGCAAAACAAAAAAGCAAATGATGTGTTGAGAAATATCTAGGGGGGTGTTTGTGTTATTTATCTCTCTGGAGGCTCTTTAGTGTTTTTTGATGGTCAGACTCCCACAAAATAAATCTGCTGTACAAGTTTATTTCCACGCTCCTTTTTTCAGGCTGTTTTGCATGTTTCTGTTCATGTCCCCCTGCAGCCTAAAGGCTCAGTATATTATCTGAGCTTTGATTGGAATTCTGCAGTTAATCATGTGATGGCATGTTTAGTTTACTGCAAATATTAATCAGTAACAAAAATGCCACAACAGCAGAACTGAAACATTTTAGTCAAACTGCAGTGCTGCTACATGTTTGCTCTATCACTGTGAGACTCAGAGATTGTAGGAGCTGTGATTTCCTGTTGTCTGTGTGCAGAAACAAGCATTCGCAGCAGCTAGTTTGCCGCTCTTTAAGCCGTAACAAAGACAAAATCACGCTTAAATGCCTAAAAAATTAACATAAGGACTTAGAAAGTGTTTAAATCAGGCAGTGACCGGTTTCCTCGTTCTGCATTCAGCCAGAGAAGGAGCAGTGCTATGATCTCACTGATGTCGGTTCAATTGTTCTTCTTTCATTAATAATAATAATATATTATATTATATATTATATTTTAATTATAGAGCACTTTTCACACCTCAAAGACGCCTTACAGTGTGAGGGAGGGTAGACAAACAAGGACAGGCAAACTAATAAATATAGTAAAATAAACAACAAAGGCAGCCAAGAGGAAGTTGATTGAGAGGGGGGGGCTTATGGGTTGACTGGTAGCTTATAAATGCTAATATATCAGCTGTAGCAATATAAAGTGCATTTAATTCACAACATTCACTGTGTTTTACTTAAAACATCCAATAGATTATATATAATTGTTATTAAACAGGTAATACAGGACAAATCATATACAACACAAAGTATGTAAAATTGCTAATAACTAAATATTTCTTCCACATATTTAGTTTGGACTCTAACACAGTCTCCCTTAATATGTTGAATTTGCTTTGCGTAAGACAGCTAAAAAAAGGGAAGCTGTAACCTGCAGCTTCCCATTGGTCAGCTCTACAAGTTTGAAGGCATGAACTCTAAACAACCACGCACATTTAAATATCACAAAACTGGACTGTATGTAGTTCCTGTTCCCCTTTTTTCTGAGCTTGCGTTCAAAGGAAATCAATGTTTCCCACCAGTGTGTGTGCGAAAACAAATCTAGAAGTAGCCTTTCACTGGATGCAAAGACATAAATCTACTGTCCTGCAGAGTTTAAAGACTATTTTCTGTCTACATTATGGGATGTGACAGCCTCTCTTTTGCCCTTGCATTGCCTGTGCTCGTGGTTTTGACCTGAGACAGGAGGTTAGGCAAACACCCACTCCTCTCCATGGCACCAAAGCTCCTCCGCCATCAAACACTGAGGAATTCCTCCACTGTTCTCAGAATCACTATAAAGAGACATCGGGGCATTCACAGGATTTCAGATGGAAAGAGCATCAGGTGAAGCTCTTGGCTGTCATGTTGTTATTTGTCTGCCAGGAGCTTCCTAAAGAGGAAAGGAGGCCGTCCTGGTTAAATAAAGATTAAATAAATAACAGAAGCGGTGACACTGATATCGGAAAAAAGCGCTTTGTGTTGCAACTACCACCTGCGTCCTGTTTTGTCATTGTTTTTGTGCAATCACAGAAATAATATGTGAAGGAAAGTGGCACAGTTGTTGTTGGATGTTAAATCTGTGTTGTTTTGTTTTGCCCACAGGATGATATCTTCGCCTGCATTGAGAAGTTGAGCTCTGTGCTCGAGTTCAACAGGGCCACTTCCTGATGATGACAGTAAACATGGGTGAGTTGTATTCGAAAGCAGGTTGCGGTGGGCACAGTACATACATTCAGAAAAGTACACGTTATTACTGGGAAACACACACACACACACACACACACACACACACACACACACACACACCCCTCTCACATCCTCTGGCAGGATCAGTACGGAAAAATAGCAAATGTGTAAAGAGTGTGGGGAGGCTGTTAACAGTTCCAGGTGGTCCCGTTTAGCACACGGTTATTTTGGTCTTTTAACAATGTTGTTTTCCTGATTTTTGTTCTTTATTCACAATTGGATGCTTGACTTTGTACGTTCTAGGTGCACACATATGTCCTTCCAATGCAAACCAGTGTTTAACACGTATTTATATTCACACCTACCAAGCCTAGGAACACATGCACTCCTGCATCCATGCAAAACCTATATACTGTGTTCCTCAGCCCAACAAAATCAAACAATTGATTTTCCTGTATTGTATTTGCATGCACACTGTAGGCCTGCAAGAGCTCCCCTCACTTCTGCAAACAAAGACATCTTAAACACATTTTTGTGATACTTACCATTTAAAATGTAAATAATGCACTATGTCTCATAACTTAAGAGGACTGTTTATATTCTGGCTCTTAATTTTTGACTGCTTTTGACTCTGTGTTGCCTGTGTTTCCACAGATGACGGTCTCCAAAATGGACCGGGACCACACAGGAACTCACAAGGTAAACCTTAATTGTCTCAGATGAAAAAACAACAATTACAGAAATTGTTTGATATTTTACAAACTGCGGTTATTCTCTTTCTTGCTGAAAGTTAACTGGGAGGGATTGTTGTAGCTTCTGTATTTTTGAACTCCAGAAAAAGCCATGCTAGCTGTTTCCTCTTCCTTAGTCTTTTTGCTAAGCTAAGCTAACTTTCTCCTGGTTTTGACTCGGATGAAAAAATTGCAATTGCAGAAATAGTTTGATATTTTAAAAACATTTATTCTCATTCTTGCTGAAAGTTTAATGAGACTATTGTTAGAAAGCTACTCTAATGTCTGTGCGTTAATGCGCTAGCTTAGCATAAGCATAGCAGCAGGTCCAAAGTAAAAATACATTAATTAATAGCTGCTAAGATAGCTAGCTTTGACAGTTTTCCCCTCACTTTAATAACTTTTTTACTGAATGAAAGTATGTTTAAAAAATACCAGGGAAGAGTTTACAGCCCAGAGAACATAACAAGGAAGCTCAGGAGACCATGTGTATGACTAGCATATGCACATTTTGCTAGCATGTTAGCAGTCATAGCTACAGTTAGTCTCTACGTCATAATAATAATAATAATAGATTTAATTTGTTAGCGCTTTTACAGGTGCTCAAAGACGCAAGTCTGTAATGCTACCTATTTCGTTTTTTAGTACGGGTAGATAAACATTGCTGGTGTGAGTGACCTTGTCTGTTGATGAGCTTCTAAGTTATTGTCACGTGTGTCTTTGAACTCCGGGAAAAGCCAGGTTAGCTGTTTCCTCTTCCCTCCACTATTTTTGCTAAGCTAAGCTAATTTCCCCCAGGTTGTGACTCCATTCACTAACATTTAAGTGGTGTGTAAAAAAATGCCAGTGTGCATATTTCTGAAGAGATTTTAAGGAGCTCAAGGGCAAAGGGAAGAACATGTCACAGCCTTTAGATATTGAATGAAAGCGTTTGCAGACATTCTCCAATGACTTTCGGTAGAGACCTTGTACAAACATTAACTGCGCAACTATTGTCACACACACCTCCCCGCATTACATCAGTCATTATTGTTAGTGAAAGATTAACTTCAAGGGTTTAAGCGTTACACCCATTAGGTGGTAAATTAAGTGTGTCGCAGTTTCGATAATCAGCAAGGTGTGTAGAGGAGAATGTCCCTTGCTTGTGTGTGTGTGTGTGTGTGTGTGTGTGTGTGTGTGTGTGTGTGTGTGTGTGTGTGTGTGTGTGTGTGTGTGTGTGTGTGTGTGTGTGTGTGTGTGTGTGTGTGTGTGTGTGTGTGTGTGTGTGTGTGTGTTGTGTGTGTGTGTGTGTGTGTGTGTGCGTCAGAGCTCGGCCTCTGCTGCAGAGTGAGGACACGTTTGGCTCCAGCTGCAAATCCTGCTGGATGCCTTTGCCATGATGTGTCTTTCTTTCGGCACCAGGAAATCCCCTCAATGTCTTCACATTCAGGCAGCTTGACACACACTTGCTTGCCCTTACACACACTTTGTTAGCTTGCAAGTTGCACCACTAGCCTCTTAAAGTCAGGGTTAATATTTAACACACTAGGGACTGTCGGTTGTTGCTGCATCTTAAACTCCAAACTCTTTTAGCTGTTCTGGTCTCAATCTATTGGCTAACATAAATGATGCAAAACATGTGTATACGTTTTGTAGAAGCACCGTGAGATCCAAATCCGACAACTGCTTTTACGTAAATAATCTTGGACTGGAGCTCTAACTTCATTTCGCCCTCTGCCACTTTCTTAGCTTAAAGAAGAGAAAAAACAGAAAGATGCAGAGTGATGATGCAACGCTCAGCAATCAGCCTCTATTGTGTAATGCTGCTCGCTCTGCTCAGCTTCCTGGAATTCCCCCCTGTTCTTATGCTAATCACATCTCAACCAAGAAACAAGAAGCACAGGAAATGAACACAAGGTATCCCGACTTATCTGCATACCAGAAAAATCTCTCCTCAGTTATGGGGTTGGTGGTGGTGTGTGTGTGTGTGTGTGCTGTTGCTGCTGGCAGTGGTGGTGTGTGTGTCTGTTCTCCACTGTGTCGGTGGTTAGCCTTGGCTGGCTTCGGCCTGGCAGTGGTCTCGCACCAGGCCTCGGTGATGTAATACATTTAATTATAGCCCGACGTTACTGCCGGCTCTGAACGCCACCACGCAATTCTCACACTCCTACCCACTGTCCCCCCTCTGCTATTATCCGTAGGTCACAGCACAGGGAACACACACACACACACACACACACACACACACACACACACACACACACACACACACACACACACACGCAGGCCTGTGTTGTTTGTTTTGTATCCTTGACTTCCAGACTTCAGGGTAGTCTGGAGTCTGTGGAGAAAGCTCTGAATAAACTCACCAGAGAGAATAAGATGCAACGATAATGAGAAAAATATGAAGATTTCCTTGACGACCCCAAGATGTCAAATCGCCCTAAATATGATTATTTTTAGGATTGCATTTGAGTGTTTTCTTCTCTTAAGTAGTGCTTAAGTGTAAACATAAATTCCCTAATCAATGGAACATCAATTACAAACAACTAAATAAGTAAAAGTAAGTAAACAAATTAATTGTAGGCTTGTCACAGACACAGAAAGGAGTAAAAGATGTCACCCTGGGCAATATGTTTTACATTTTCTTGACTAAACGACAAAACATCCATTGAAAATCATGAATTCTAGCTCAGCTGTCAAGAAAAGTGCAATTTATACCAAAAAATATGAATAAACACTGCACGCTTTTCTTGTTTTACACTACAAGAGCTGCATTTTGATTATTTTTCAGTCTGGTTACTAAGCGGCCATGCACAAACGCTCCGTTCCCTCATGTCCATCTCTGACTGATTCAATCACAAACCCATTAATTTTCTTGTGTGGAATAACGCGGTTAGCCCTGCTCCGCATGCAGAGCAGAGACGATGACTCAGTTCCTTCCTGTAGGCAGAGGACAGACCGTCTAGCAGTTAGTCATCCAGCGCCACTGACAGCTTATATTTGAACTAAAGCGTCCCTGTTTAAGTCCCTTCAGGTCGATTCCCTCTGGAGCATTGTGTGGTTATGTCCTGTGGAGGAAAGCAGTTGTATTGTTTACATGAGCAGGTCTGTTTCACTCTTTTGTTCCTCCTGTCAAATGTGTTAAACCACGCATGCAGGAAGCGAGACTCATCTGTCTGTCCCACACTCACCTGATCTTATCGCAACCCACTCTTAGCTGTAAACCTAATGCTACGGAGAAATGTGGTAATGAGGCACGCTCACAGCACGCCTCTGCATTAGATAAGGTTTCTGATTATACTTTATTCCTACTCATTAAGTGCTGGTTTGGCGCTTTAACATAATATAATATCATCCTCGAATACCACACTCTTTCTCTTTCCATGTTTGCACTGCGGCCTGAGATTCTGTGGGTGTAACATTTACTTATCACTCAGCCGTATTTAGCTTCCCTGAATGAGGGAGTGTGCCGTTATTCCTCACTTTACTCTCGCTGCTATATTGGGATCGTCAAACATGACGTCCACCTCAATCCAGATGTTCCTCCAGAGCTCTCTGATTGGGTCAGAGGTGAACGAAAGATGTCATAGGCAAGGCAAGGCAATTTATTTGTGCAGCACAATTCATACAGTGATGCAATTCAAAGTGCTTTACAGGATCAAACAGATAAATACATTTTTACGATGGTCAAAGTGACAAGAAATACAAAAACACACAAAACAATTAAAAGAAAGAAAACCATGTTTAACAGTTCGAAAATTTAAATTTTAAAAAGAAATGTTTTTAGACCTGAGAGGCAGTAGAAGTTAAAAGCTAGTTTTGATGAGTTTTTTTCTCGGAGAAACGTCCAAGAAACGCTGGAATTAAAGTGAGAAAATGCATGTACAGTACTTTAGTAGATGTACTACTTAGTTACTATTATTCCTCATACAGCCTTATTTGGTCTGGTACTAGGAATACTGTATTAGCATATTGTAGCTAAAGGAAGCTAAGTTTACACAGATGTGACATCACTAAGAGAAATAAGCTATTTTAGGCCTTTTTTCCAGAGCTCGCTGAAAAGTATTCTGGAAAATAATGGGTTTTCCTAGCCGAGGTAAAAATAACTTGGCCGGTTTTGTGGGAAAATGTGAAATGACTTCAGAACATTTACCTAGAATTTACACCAGTTGAATGCACACCTGTTTACATCTGGATTTGAGATCCACTCACTAAACTGATTCTGCCCTTATTAAACAAACATCATTAGGAAATGTTCAAGTACATTCATTCAGGCAGGGTGGTCCGTTTTTGCAATTTACAAACCTCATGTTAACTTATGTTAAAAAGGAAAAAGCAAGCTGTGAGGTTTTAACATTTAGAATTGGATCAGGAGACATCCACTGCGAACATCCAGAGTTTAGAAATGGTGTTGAGTAAGGTTTCCACCCCGTGCATCCCTAGTCTGTAAACCTGCGTTTCTATGTGGAGTAGCAACGACTAGTCGACTAATCAGCAGCTATTGTGATAATTTATTAATACATTTAACTAGTTTTTAGTCTTCAGAATAGGGAGTTTGTGTGCTTTTTCTCTATTTTATATCATATTTCAGTGATTATCTTTGAGCAGAAATAGCTCTATATGGATTTTACTTCAATCAATCAATGTTTATTTATATAGCCCAATATCACAAATGTTACATTTGTCTCAGTGGTCTTCACAGTTTGTACAGAATATCAGTATGACAATACGACACCCTCTGTCCTTAGACCCTCTGTCCTTAGACCTTCTGTCCTTAGACCCTCTGTCCTTAGACCCTCTGTCCTTAGACCCTCACATCGTACAAGGAAACACTTCCAGAGAAAACCCACAGTTTAAAGGAACATGGAGAAACCTCAGGGAGAGCAACAGAGGAGGGATCCCTCTCCCAGGACGGACAGACGTGCAATAGATGCCGTGTGTAAATCCAAGAGATAATACATTTTACAGCATATAGACCGAATGTTAGGAAATGCATGTGTCTGTAATAAGAAGATGAATCCACGAGGATGTCAGCTACAATCCTGTGGGAGCCATCAGGGAAGTAGTATGATGAGAGTCAGGCAGGACCACAGAGACAGGTTCAGCCACGACTCGAAGTCCAGGACTCAGGACTCAGATCAGGACTCAGGATCCCGGCGTAGATAGACACCAAAAAGACATTTGGGGAAGCTGGGTTATTCGGAACATGAGAGTACACAGGTACAGACAGAGAGACTTGACTTGAATCGGAGGGTCGCTCGATTGGACCAAGTAATAGAATATACTAGGAAAAAGTACTGGTATTGCCGGTGCCAGTTCACTGCTCCTTGTACTAGGATGGCTTAAATGCAGAAACTGAATTTCACTGTGTGTGTGGGGCTGTGTAGATGTGTGACAATAAAAGAGGCTTTCATTTGAATTGTCTATGTCCAGTCCGTTTTTAACAGCGACATTTAAAGACATCACCTCAGACTTTGAGACACTATATTGACATTTATGACTATTTTCTGACATGGACAGGTATGACAATTAATCTAGAGATAATCAGCAGAATAAAAATAACCGTTAGTGTGTTTTTTGTCCCTTTTTGTGAACCTTACAAACTGACCCAGTGTCTGCGAACAGCCAAGAGTCGTACCGTTAGGATCAAATGGCATCTCGAACTCCATCTGCTCTCCTATCACGCTCTCTGTGTGAATGACAGTCCCCAGTGGTCTCTCTCTATCTCTCTATCTCTCTCTCTCTCACACACACACACACACACACACACACACACACACACACACACACACACACACACACACACACACACACACACACACACACGGATCCCCTTTACTTTAAACCTTTTCTGCTGTTTGCTTTGCGGGGCACACACCTGTCCTGATTTTCAAGCCGTGTGTGTGTGTGTGTGTGTGTGTGTTTTTTTAATGAAAGTACCCGGGGCTCATTTGAGAGGCAGGCGGGAGCGAAGGTCAACGACCTCTTCTTTATATTGTAATCACCGGGCTCAGATAATTGCTTCCATTAAAGTCTCTTGATATGGTAATGTATGACATGCTCATCTGCATGATTGCCCCCTTCAGTGTGTGTGTGTGTGTGTGTGTGTGTGTGTGTGGTGTGTGTATGTGTGAAGTGTGAGATGAAGAAGAAGCGGCTAAATGCTGAGCGTGGTCTCTTGGTTTGTTAAATGAATTTTTAAGGGTTTTAATGAATGCTACCTCTCCCCTCTGATGTTGGAATTTAAAACACTTGACTTGCTCTTGTTTAGCTTCCGATATCCAATGAAATACACCCTCAAACCTGCAGCCATTTAAAATCGTAATTACTCAGCGTTTGACAAAAAAAATATATTTTTCTCTACAGGATTTCATATTTTAACTCAAGACTTTTGCTTCCTGGAATCACCCCACTGATTTAAACGAGGCATGGATGTGCTTAGTAACCGAGCTCCGGGCCACACACATTCAAGGCTGCATTTCCCCCTGAGACACACACACACACACACACACACACACACACGTTGCATTATTAAACACCTTCCCAGCTTTTGTATGCAGAGAGCAGAGCTTGAGAGCCACCGGCGTTGTTAGTCTCAGAGTTACTCACACCTGAAGAGCGATAGAGATCTGAGAAGACATTCAGGTGGTGTGCAGAGAAAACACAGCTTTTATAGGTATTTGATTTTCTACTACAGACAACCTACTCTAGTGTATGAGGGCACTGTAGGTAAAACATGATAATAACTACAGTATTTATTCTGAACCAGCCACGTTCCCAGGGATGTCTCTTCAGAGTTCAGATGCTTCTGATTATAAGGTGATCCTTGGCAACGTCGTATCAACAACTGGACTGTTTTAAACAATGGAAAGTCCACAGATGGCATCAGAACAGGAAGTAGAAGATGCCTCAGGTGTTGCCTCAGTGTCTGTCCTGAGCCAACACAAGCAATGATCCAACACACACACACACACACACACACACACACACACACACACACACACACACACACACCCATCATCACCCATGCATTACTCTCGAAATGTGCAGGAATGCCCATGGGTTCCTTATGTCCCGGAGGAAAGTGAGTTTATATATCTCTAGGTCAGGTTGAGTTGAGTGATTTCTGATGTTTATCTTGTGTGTTTTAGATGACGAGGAGGCGCTGAACTCCATAATGAAGGACCTGGCAGCCCTGGGCCGCTGCTACACCCAGCACAACAGCCACAAGCCCAAAGTCAGAACATTGCTCTACAAACAGGTACGAGTATTTAAAGTGACACGACATTTCTTAACTTTCCTGATGTCCTTAGGTCAGATTTGATTTTTGTTTTTAATTGTTTAAATGTCAGAATAAGAGGGTTCCTTCATGTATATGGCATAAAAAAAGGATGGTTCCAATACGCCAAAAAATGAATGGTCACTACTACTATAGAATCAGAAATCTTTTAAATGATTTTTCCTGCATTTTTTTTTATTACACTTGGACATATACCAAATGTATGCTTTTATCCTAACTATAGTAAAAACATATTCAACATTTTTGTCTTTTTAAACAAAAAAACAAGGTTTAATTCTGTGTAAATTGAAATCCAACTCCGGCCACCACTAGGATGAAATGGAGTGTTTCCTTCCTGAGAAAAGCAGCAGGTGACGGAGAATTTCTTCTGCTAAAAAGTAGAATAATGTCAAACAGGAACCTGCAACAGGAACCAGTCATTAAAGCCCCTGTCACACTGTCCCGAAATTGACACCCGATGGACACACGATAAAGGAAATGTTCAAATTCGGCTGTGATCGTAGCAACATCGGGCCATTCGTGAGGGCATCTTAAGCCATCGTATGACCGGCAACTTCGTAAGGCACTCGTGAGGGCATCTTGTCAAGTCGTGTCATCTTCGTGTTATCATCGGTGCATTCGCCCTCACTCTGATCGGGGCGAATGGCCGATGGCACCGATGATAACACGATGCCCTCACGATGGCCTTACGAAGGGCAACATTGACACACGAATTCAACACGAAAATGAACCTTCTCAAGGTCCTTCTGCTATTTTTTGGCATGCCAAAGATTTTGCCACCGCTCACGAAGTTGCTGCCGGAGCCTGAGAAACTCCACCGGCGGTCATACGAAGGCTTAAGATGCCCTCACGAATGGCCCGATGTTGCTACGATCACAGCCGAATTTGAACATTTCCTTTATCGTGTGTCCATCGGGTTTTTTATTGCACAACAAAATCATGTAAATATATTATGTAAATAACCCAATTTGTGTTCTGTGAAACTAAAAAGGATATAATATATTATTTTGAAGGACAGTTGACAGGAAGTTGTTGTTGTTATGGAAACAACATTACGGAGAAAACGTAATATTTTCTACATATAACGACGGATAAAGTAAAGAACAAAGTCTGAAGATATCAGTACAGTATCATAGTACTGTAACATAATTGTTTTTGGTACTTTCATTGCAGTTGTATGTCTTAAATGTAATGTAAATGTTGCCTTCGTGTGTGGTTCGGGGCCATCTTCGTGCGAAATTCACAATTCCATATTCGTGTGTCCATCGGGTGTCAATTTCGGGACAGTGTGACAGGGGCTTTAAGGAAGACGTTGTGTAAATGCACATCTACGGCAATCTTTGAAGCATGAATTCGCCTTATTTGGGTAAAAAATAATATGGATGTTAAGTGAATGTAAAGTGGATTACGTCGCCTTAATAGCTATAGATTCTCTGCTGTAAATCTATGGAAACAGATGTCAACTCAGTCCGATCACAGCTGCTGCTCATCATGTAAACTATAATTTTTTTTACAGCCATCGTCTAAACCTACAGAGAGGGTGAGTGTAGGTTTCCGAGTTAAGCGCACATTAAAGCTGTCCCACATTCTGCTTTATTACACTTTATTAACCCGACACACCACACGCTCAGCAGAGCCTTAAACCTTTACCGTCGCTCTGGGATCTCACACAGAAAGCTCGACTAACAGCTGCGGGCGGCCAAAGTCAGGTGAAGGTTGGGCTGCAGTTTTAGGAGAGGATAAAAAGCTTATTTGCAGTTGAATTTAAGCACATTTCCAAGAAGATTATGCGACTGCTGCGTTCATTAGAAGTGTTTTTACAGTCTATTGTAAACGATGCCCGACAGGCGCTAACGTAACTTTGCAAATTTCACTTTGTGACAAATAAAGAGGGTTTCATCCATTCTAATTTCTCCTAATGTACGTGTTTTGGGCCGTTATAACTTGTCAGCCATTGTATCCAATCCATTTGATTTCTATAGCACATTTCAAAACAACAGAGTTCAGTGATTCCCGCAGAAATGAAATATACTTTGGGGGAACGACGTGAAAAACGGCGTGAAAAAAAATCTCCTCAGAAATCTCTCAAAATGTTAGGAGCGGGGCTAGTCCTGGTGGGCTACCCAGGCTGAGTGACAAGGTGGCATCCAGGAAACTGAAATTTGCAGGTCACTGCCATCGACACCAGGAACTTCCAGCTGGCAAGTTAGTACTCTGGGAGCCAACACACGGGCACCGACCAAGAGGGCGCCCCACGCCAACATACGTGGAGGTGCTGAGGAAGGATGTGGGGGTGGAAAGCTCCACAGAGCTGGCCGGGTGTATGGAGGACCGTGAGGATTGGCGAACCCGTTGGCAAACTCGTTGGCAAACTCGTCTAAGGACGACCTAGTAGTAGTAGTCCTTGATTGGCTCAAGTTCACACCTTTTTAGGGGCGGGGCTAGTGATGTTGTCCCGGGGATGCTTAGGAGTTGATAAAGGAGATAATCCCACTGACGTCATCATTTGATTCCAAAAGTGGGTCTGGACTCGCGCCCATAGAGGCTGTTTACCAGTATAATGGCTCCCCCCAAAGTATAATTTATGGGTGGCTCCCCCCAAAGTATAATTTATGGGTGGCTCCCCCCAAAGTATAATTTATGGTTTTTTAAGTTTTTTTTACTCACTGAGCACTCATTGCCACCAATGCAAATGCAAATGAGTGCTCACTGAGTAAAAAAAAACAAAAAAACACACAAATTATACTTTGGAGGGAGCCATTATACTTTGGGGGCCCCCCAAAGTATTAACATGCTGTGGGAATCACTGGAGTTGAACAAAGTGCTGTACATCAACAACTGTATACAAACATAAATACATAAAAAAACAGACAGGAGACGAAACAAATGTAAAACACGAGACAATGAAACCAGATCAGAAGCCAGACTGAGAAACTCTCCTACATGACGTAAAAACAATACAAGACACTAGTAAGATATAAACCCAAATGTAAAAGCACAAGTGTCACCTGGTCTGTAGAAGCCAGGGAAAAGAAGTGGGTTTTTAAACGAGATTTAAAAACAGGCAGAGTTGGAGCAAGTCTAACCTGGAGGGGCAATTCGTTCCATACTTTTGGAGCTGCAACAGCAAAGGCTCCTCGCTGCTTCAACCTCGATTTTGGGACTACCAGAAGTAATCTATCAGCCGACCTCAGTGACCGTGTGGGTGTGTATGGTTTTAAAAGATCTGCCAGGTACCCTAACCCTAACAGTAACATTTTAAATTGTATTCTAAAACTGACTGGTAGCCAATGTAACGAGGCGAGTGCAGGCGGGTCTTAAAAAGTGTTAAAAGTTGATCAATCAATTTAGCGAAAAGTAAGGCTATTAAAAAGTATTAAACGGCATTTTCCAAGGTCTTACATTTTGTAGCTTGTGTTCAATAAGTATATAAATGGTCCAAAGAGGTTGTATTCTACAGTCTGCCTGAATGTAATCATTGCGTAGGTGTGTAGTGTGATTCCGTGTAGTTTATTGATGGCATCCCGTTGGATGTGACGTCATCTGAACAGGACATCGCGCGCTCACTGCTTGATAGCGCGCGAAGCTCCGTTTACGCCGGTTGCTAAGCAACATCGTTATGGGGAAATGCAAGTCTGCGTCCAAATGGTTGGAAGATCAGGAGGAAGGACCATCAATACTGTATATAGTCAATGTGAGGTAAAGTGTGTCGCCAAGGTAACCGGTTAAAACTCAAAGTGGCGATGAGGTCTTAAAATGTATGGAAAGGGTCTTAAAAGGTCTTACATGTGACTTCAGGACTCCTGCAGATACCCTGAGTATGTAGCTGCAGATGCACACAAACAAAGCCAATTATGTATCTCTAAAGGATCTTTTAATAATCTGAACATACATTTGCAAAGTTATCCCTAACACGGCCTGCCTCTTTCCAGGATTTTGTTTATTTGAATGACTTTCTAAAGTTGTTTATCCGTGCGTTTGTTCCCTCTGTGGAATGATAATTGGTAAGTCCTCTTGAAATGTTTACGATTAGCCGTAAACAAACGGAGAAGAGCGTTCGGGGTAAACCCCTACTTTTTTTTGTTCAACCCGTCGCTGTCACCGTTTATCCCCATGACCTCATGCAGACTTCAGGCTCCTCCACATTCCTGCTCCCTGAAGCAATGCCATTCTGAAAAGAGAATCTTTGGTTTGGAAGATAATGCCGTCTTTGTATTGCAGAACAAAATTCAGCCATGTGTCATTACAATGTCGCTTACAATCCTTTCATTTACTCTGCCCAAATCCCACGTTTTAACTTTCCACCTCCCTCTGTTGTCATTTTCCCTCTCAACAGGATTTAAGAGTCAAGCTGGAGCATGAGAGAGAGAAACGGTATGTTGGATCCGTATTGTTTTTTCTACTCCTCTGTCCAAAGCCCTACCTCCTTCTGTTATGCTTCGCCATGCCTGGGATTGTGGTGTCTCGTGGAAATCGCCGTTACACGCCAGGGTAGCATAAAAAGAGAGAGGAAGAACTCCTGCTTTGGACATTTTAGCCGTGTGTTTCTCAGGCCGCTTGACAAGGGGAAAGAAAAGGCAGACACAGACTGTGTGAAGTCTTCCAGGCAAACTAACATCCTCTATCACACCACCAGAGGAAAAACAGGGTTACAGTCTGGAGACGTCTTCTTCTCCTCCTTTTATTCTACCCGCCTCACAGTTTGTTTACCTCATTGAAAGCTAAGGCGCCCAGTGTAAATACTTAAGAAGAGGCTACCATGTAAGGATGCTGTGTGCAGGTCTGCGCTTCAGCGATATGTCCACAGACACACTTTATCCTGGCTCCAAAGCAACTCTTTAAGGGGGGGGGACAAACACAGAGTTTACTGTTACAGGGAAACACATCAGAGACTGGCCAGACATGCTTTGGTTCGGCGAGGCTGTGATTATTAAAACCACAGGCTCTCAGGAGTGAGGAAGACGAGGGAGACGGCTTCACATCAAGCCTTCGCCGCCATAATTGGCTGCTGCTGCGAGTTGTTCATGTTCCTGTCTCTCCGTGTGTTTCTGCCTCACAGTCTCTCCAAAACACAGCTCACCCTGGAAGACCTCTTTCATTAACTCTTATTTAAATGCATTCCTTATTAAATGCACTCTGTAAATCCACTTTCTCTCATCGTGTCCTAGCTCTGACCTCCTTCATTTACCGTAAGGACTGTTTGGGAAGTCAGTAGGATATCCTGAGTTTGTTACCTCACTTTTTTAAGCTGCTCTAATCAATATTTTCATACTAACAATGGATCAGATTGTTATGTCATTATGAAAGGGGGTTGCTGGAAGTGAGAAATCTGGAAAGAAACATGAACAGCGTCTTCAGTTCCTGGTGTTTTTCTTCACCTCATTATTTTGGTTTCTGATCCAGTACCGGCCTGGTTTTGTTCACTTTCACTTCTATTTCTTGCATCCAGCTGTTTTCCACACAAAAAAACAACAGTACGTTACCGGCCAAAGACCGAACGAAAGACAAACGAAGTTAGCGACTAGCCGGTGAACATAGGAAGCATTAAGCAGCTAAGGAGACATATTTCCTTTTTCAGGAGTTAGCAGAGACCAAAAACAGAGCCAAGAGAACTCCAAATGAATGCTAAGGTCTCTGTTTTACCTGCTGGATGTATACATGCGTTATGGACTTCACATACATCGTCAGTGTTGTGTTTACACCTACTTTGAGTGCTCAAAATGTTTCCATGGAAAAGTACAGAGCATCAGCCAAACACAACATGTATACGATAAGCTCATTTCTGTTTGTAGTTAATGCAAACACTCTGCTCAGTAAGAAAACACACACAAGCCAACAGAGGCAGTATCACATTAAGAAATCCCATAAAACCTAAGCTGAACTAACCCCACTGAAAAACAAGAAGCCCCTGAAACGAACTTACTTATAAAATCCAATTTCTCAATGTCAAAACTTTCTTTTAATCTTGAAACACTGAGGTTTTTTCTTCCTATTTAAGAAACAACTTCATTGGGCTTTTTTTTAAAGTGAGTGTAGAAAGACTACACTGTCACTTTAAAAAAGTCACCAAACGAATCTTTAAAAAAACAACTTAACAGTTTGATCGTGATCCAAGTTGCAGCACCAGTGTGAATTAAATGAGCTATTAGGAGTCCCTGAGTCAGGATAACTGTGTTATCTGTCCACAATGGAATCTAATTGGACGCTCTGTCTTTTCATTGGCAAGCGCTGAAGGTTTGAGGCAGGAAATAGGAGCTGCCCCCCCCCTTAGGGTCTCCTGCCAGAGAGTAAAGGAACAGAGCCAGACCTTCCTCTAGTGTTTTTTCTCTGCTGTTCACGAGAGAAATCATACGAGAAAGAGAGCATTCCTTTTACTCTGCAAATCTGTGTGTGCACATGCTCGCTCGGAGAGGAAGGAAAGCCATATCTTTTGGAGCAGCATCCTCGCCCCCCCGCTCCCTCCACATCCCTCTCGCCCTTTATCAGACACATGATCGGCGAGTATAAACAGAGACGGAGAGCGTTTAGCTGCTGCTCGCCTCTGATCTGCAGCCGGCCTCTTCCCAGAATCCTCTCTGACCAATGAGCAGTCATTAAGATAGGAAGAGCCTTTGATGAGGGAATTATGGGATACAAATCAAGCTTCTTTTTTTATCAGGATACTATGAAGAGATGGTTCTTCAAAAGCAGAAAGAGAGGAGGAGAAACGCAGAGGATACTCTCAGGACAAGAATCGCAGTCCAGTGTTTCACAGCAGATTACCTCTTAAAGTAGAAAATGTATATCACCAGTAAAAGACATTAAAAGGACGACAGTGCTACTTCTCAATATCTGTCTCTCTGTGAAAGAGCAAAGACACACATCCTGCTGCTTTGCCGCCCGCTCCAGATTTTTTTATTCTTCCCCCCTCTTCCTCTCAGGAAGTTTCCCATCTGCCTTTGTGCTGGCTTAGTGAGAGAGGCCCTGGTGTTGAAACAGTGGCCGATGCACACACTGATTGGGAAGCACAGTCATGCATGTAGAGTTTTACCAACAGACATATATAACGGCCGCAGATAAGCCCGACAGGCCGAACACTCAGTCATACACGCAGCCGAGCGGCAGATAACACACTCTGTCTCTGTTTTCACTGCGTTGATGAATTCCCCGCTCAGCATCACATCGCTCTTCTCCTTGACCCAGTGACCTCTGCATGGTTCCTCTTATGTTACACTGAAGTAGAAGTGATAATAGTGCAGTGTTGAAATACTTAAACGTCCTGCATTCGAAAAAGAATGGCAGCAAAATCTAAAACTTCTCATTATCCAAAGTGGCCGACTTTTGGAAACGTATATGTTATGAAACTGATTGATAATTAGTGATGCATTCATGTGTTTGTCATTTTAGTTTTGCAGCTGTTAAAGGATGATATAACATTCATATATTTGTATATACTGCCTGGTATCTCCATCCATAACAGTACCATAGTGATTTATGTTCATATGTATCATCATAAAGTAGGGCTGCTCGATTATGGCAAAAATCATAATCTCGATTATTTGGGTCAATAATTGTAATTGCGATTATTCATTGACTTTGAAAACATCCATTTATTGGAGAATTTATTTTGAACAGTATGTTTTTAACAGTTTGAACTTTAAGTATAATTCAACTGAAAAACAAAAAATTATAATAACAAAAACATAATCGTTTTATTTCGATTACGTTGTTTTCGTAATCGTTGCAAGCCATAATCGTAATCGCGATTAATTGAGCAGCCCGACCATAAAGTAGCATACAAAGGAAATACTTAAGTAAAGTAAATGGACTTCCCACCACTGCCTGTTACCGCAGGTCATTAAATGGATTTGAAAGATCTGGAAATATGTTAAAAAGAACTAGATTTATAACTAATTTTCTCTTTCTAAATCTTTTCTCTTTTCCCATTTAACTTTTCTGTGAACTATGAGTACTATATCTGCCAGTCAGCTGCTTTTCTCTGTGGAAAACTCCCCCCTACCCCTGCCCTTCACAGCCTGAGCTCATGAATGTCCCAGCCAGACACAACAGCAGCTTCTTTCTGCGACCTCTGACCCCTCTCTCTCTCTCTCTCTCTCTCTCAGGATCATCCCGTTCCAGAGGCCGCTGAAGATCAAAGAGCTGCTGCAGAAAGTGACCGAGGCCTTCGGGCAGCAGATGGACATGTTCTTCATGGAGAAAGAGGTACAACAATATGATTAAAGCAACATATAACTTATGCAGGTTCATTTGCACCATTTGAGTCCTTTGTCAATGCGTCAGCAACTTCAAAATGTTCAGTCCTGATTTAAAATTATGACTTTTTGTCTGTAGGTAAATCCCTAATATTCACCCAAACCACTGTACCTGTTTACCCAAATCTTGACTTTTCTATGTGGTTTTCTTTAAATGAATGTATTCTCTTCCATTAGCTGAGGCTCAATTTGACTAGAAGTAATACTAGTAGCAATTATTTTTGGTTCATATTGAGACTAGGGCCGGGACTTTAACGTGTTAATTAAGATGAATTAATTACACAAAAATTAACGCATTTTAATCGCACTTATTTTTGCACCGCGGAACGTTTCTCACTGGATGAGTTTCAGGCGTACCGATTATACTGGAGCCCCAACTAACGTTCATGACTTCAGACAACAACAAACCACAGTGAACAACAGTGGGAAATGTTGTTTTAAAAAACGGACGGATGGAAGCGTCGATAAGAGCACGGTTGTGTGCAAATTATGCAAAAAGGAATTCGCATATCACCGCAGCACATCAAGCCTCAAGTATCACCTCAATGCAAAACATATAGCAGCTAGCGTGGAAGCTAGCGTGGACGTTAGCCTCTTTTATCGCGTTCACACCAAAAAGAGCTGGTACTAAAATTAGTTCATGAGAACCTTTTTACCCCCTCGAAAGTCCCTGCTAGAGAGCAGAGCTGCTAGAGAGCAGGGACTTTCGTACGGCTCTCTTGTGAGAAGAGAGCTATATGTCTGATTGGCTGGGCGGATTGCAAACCACGCCCCGTAAAACTCCCAAAAAGTTTTGTGAAGCCGTCATTTTATTATCCTCGCATTAGCATTAGCATTAGCCCAGCGCAGAAACGCAGAGAGACTAATTTATGGCAACACCAAATAAAACATGGGAGCGGTGGAGATGAGGAGGTGTCGGCGTTCTGGCGATTTACAGGCCCCAACTCCGGGGACTTCCGGCCGGGGACTTTGGGCGGCAGTATACGCCGTGAAGTGGTTTGCGGCCTGCCAGTAAACCCAAAGCAGAAGAAGAAGAAGTGACGTCAGCGGCTTCATTTGCCTAATCCACCCCCAGGTTCAAAGAGTTCTCATGAACTAAGTTCTCATGAACCTTTGTGGGAAAAGTACTGCGGTGTGAATGCGCCTAATGGTATACTAAAATCCATGTGAAAAAAATTGCTTCTCACTGTTCTTAGGTCAAATATTTATATGTGATTAAAAATGCGATTAATTTCGATTAATTAATTACAAAGCCTCTAATTAATTAGATTAATTTTTTTAATCGAGTCCCGGCCCTAATTGAGACATTTCAATAAACGCCATAAAATAAAATACATAAATATGATAGAGGTTTCATATGTTTGACTGTTTTGACGACACCTACAGTACGTCAGGCATGTGCTTATACACGCCGCCTTTTCTGGCACAATGGGTGATCAATCACTGTGATGTATGTTTTCTTGTCCTTTCAGCTGCTGCAGCCCCTGAAGACGCAGGAGGACCTGGAGCAGGCGGTGCTGACGCTGGGCTGCAGCTCCGGGGCCAACGGGCTGCTCAGGATCCTGCTGAAGACCCCCAAGAACAACCATGTGAGTCCCTGATCATTTAGACCAGGGGTGTCCAAACTTTTATCACCGAGGGCCACTTACAGAAAAACATACGAAGGTCCGGGCCGCTCACTATTGCCTCATAAGTTCAGTTATAAGTTAGCAAAATCAATCAAATGCAGGTAAATGATGCTTGATACTTTAAAGAAATGCCTTAAGAAACACAACAGCCTCCAGAGGGTTTCATTTATTTAGTTGGCAGCTCATTCCTTAAAACAGAAGCCCCAGATTGCTTATAAAAAGGTAGATTTCAAGCTTGTTATGTAAATATAGTTTATCGGGCTTTTTTTTATCAACTTAGATTAGTTTGAAAATGTTCCCAACTTTAATTGACTGAATTTATTCCATTATACTTTTTGAATTAGCTGAGGGCCGATTCAAAATGGTCCGCGGGCCGCATTAGGCCCCCGAGCCGTAGTTTGGACACCCCTGATTTAGACACTATAAGACAAATAGAGAAGTAATCTTATCAAAGTGTAAACAGCTGACGGTGTGTAGTAGGAAGTCATTGTCTCTGTGTAACTGTGCCATGATGTAATGCCGTCCTCCTGATTCCTTTTCTTTCTCCACTTCCTGTGCACTCTTTCTCTCTGTAGTACCTGCAGGTGAACAGCAGGGACAAACAGAGCGAGATGCGGTCTTCACGGTCACTCGGAGACCTCAAGGGTTCCCTGCTCAAAGGCTCTGAGAGGGTCCGCAAACACTCAACAGGTGAGACCAACTGTAGAAACACACACAATTAAAAAGCCAATGCACGTAAAAGTCATGTCTTCCCGAAAAATACAACCAACGTTGTTTTGTTCACCTGCTCAAGGGTGGCTTGTCAGCGTCAATTTACGACACCAAGAGATGCCAAAGTCACAGGAATGTTAATGGCAAGATGAGGGACACGCTTTGTCAGAATGGACGAATGCAAATCTGAGCTGAAAGTGACAAGTTTAACTGCCAGAGAGGTGTCAGGTCAACGCAAGGACACGTGTCTGCTCTCATACCAAGCAGCTCTCCGTCTGCATCGCCACCTTGATGATTGTTTAGCGCTTTGAATCAGCGGACGATCTGTCAAACGTGACAAAATGAGACTTTAAAGCTTACTGACGAACACGTCTCTTGCATCCCAAGTCAAGACAGGCCATGCAAGTCAAGTCCTACACTTTAAGTCCTATAACAGTCAGTTATCACCTGCAGTTTCTTTTGTGTTAACCACCATATCATTTTTGTAGATTTGAATACAGCAATGTAACTTAATGGTTTCATTTCTCTCTAGGAAGCATAACTAACAAGTTGTGGAACACTTTTAAAGTAAAATACATAGTTAAGTTGAGACTTAAGTTTGTGTGACTCGAGTCCACACCACTGCTTTACGCTTATTGCGTTCGCTTCGCTCGAGGCTTGTTGTTGCCATGAATGTTGAGCTGTAGGAAAAGCACAACTTGTAGTTTGTTCACTAAGGTTATTGTATATAAGTAAAATAAAACATGTTCATTTGTGAGCTTAAGTACTTGTAGGAAAAGGTTTTCTACCTTAGGACGGAGCCATGCTAGCGGTTAGCTTAGCTATCTAGTTTAGCTAATCAGATTTCTCGGCTCTATCTGTATGTTTACCAGACAACAACTAAGACATTTCCTTTTAGACCGACAAAGGACTTTCTGTTTTCATGTCACACTCCGCTTCATTTCTGTTGTCCCTCCTAGCTCGTTCGTTACCACAGCGACAGGTTTATTTTGATCTGTGAAATCCTGACCTCTGCCATTTCTGTCTGAATCTCTTCTTAACACTCTTTATATCAGGTCTTTCCAGAAAGGTCAGTGATGCAGTCATCATATGATGCAGCTAAGGCCGCTGTGTGATTGCTGTCAGCGCCAACTTTTCACACGTAGCCTCGTCACCATCCCGAGACGTTTAAATTGTACACCGGCCCTCTGTCAATTCCTCCACTAGTCTGAGAGATGGAGGGGGGGGGGTAGATGAGAGGTGACAGCACAGTGGACGTTTGAGTGAAGAAGTGATGAGAGCCTCACTGACGTACAGCAGAGAGAGGTCAATGGGTTTTTTAATGTTTGTTGGTTAGATGCCAGAAACAAGGTCTGGTGTTAGTACGTGTGTTTCTACGACATGTCTTAAACGTCTTTGTGTCGGCGTTAACGTCATCACGCAGCACAAAGGTCTTTACACAGGCCTTAGCTGTGTTCATGTGAAGCTGTGCACGTTATAAAGTGGTGATTGTATGGTATTTATCCTGCTGGAAAAGACACGTGTTTGCCACAGATTTAATTTCCAACAGTTTTCTTTGTTTGATTGAAGACACAAATACATTTGGTACATTGATAGGTTAGATTGAACAGTTCAAAGCTACTAGTGTTCAGCGTAGTCTCTACTATTGTACATCAATTGACAAACCATACATCGTTGATCTTCACTTGAAGGCGTAACCAGGGAACCAATGCAATAACTTCCTGGTTGGTCTGCAAAAATCCCATTTCCACTCTTTTTGACCCCACTGTTTTCAGTACGACTGCCATCCAGTGACAGACTCTCAGTAGGTTTTCTAACGCTGCCAAGGACGAGCGCTCAGTCTCCGCTCAGCCATGGCAGTGTTAGTCACCGTAATTGAGGTTAGAGGTGGGGGCTGTGTGCTTTAGTAAATCACATCTCGTCGAGCTGGCACTGTTGAACTTGTTACCATGAATAACTCTGACGCTCCCCTCTGCCCCTTTGCTTTCATCTCTTCATCATCTCCCCCTCCTCGCCTTCACCACTCAATTTCTCATTTTGTTCCCCCTTCCCCTCGCTCCAGGGTCCCTGCACACCGGTCGGACGTCCCCTCCTCCCGGCAGCGTTCCTGAAGAGCAGCAGCAGATCGCTCGCCAGGGATCCTACACCAGCATCCACAGCGAAGGGGAGTTCATCCCAGAGCACGTAAGGGCATCACTACGACAACACAGACTGTATATTTCATATTTCATATTTGGACAACATAAGAACAAACATACAGAATTGCAACATGTACATACTCTGTCTTACAATCTTTCTGCATCGAAGATTAGACATTACTAATCGTGCAAAACCAATACACGACCAAAACACGAAGTACAGCAGACAAAAACAACAAGAAAACGTGCATAGTCATAAATAATAACAATTAAGAGGAGAATAAACAAATGACAGGGTTCTTACGGTCATTAAAAACCTGGAAAAGTCATGGAAATTCAAAAAGCTAATTCCAGGCCCTGGAAAAGTCATGGAAATGTAACTAAAGTTGCATCAAATATAATTTATATTTTATCTAATCGCTGAAATAGTAATACTATAACGATAATAAATACTGTATCGTATAGTAATGAAACGTAAAATGGCTTTTAACTGTCGAGGTGTTTTGCTGGTGAGAGATTTGAGTTGAAGCTAGTAAGCCTATTTGATTTGTTTTAGATCGGCACAACATGTTTCAGACCCTATTCTCCTGTTCCAGGTTAAAATAAACCATTTTCTGTGGCACCGATGAGAGAGTAATTGTTGTGGTCATGGAAAAGGAGATAAAGGTCATTGAAAATCATTTGTAAAAAAGTGTATGAACCCTGAAATGAATCAAGATAGCATGTCAAGTTTAGGGGACTTGACCTTGATCATCGGTTCTCCCTTTTTGCTGCATTGCACATATAGGAAGGCTTGATTTGTAGTGCATTGCCAGCGTTTACTCTCTCAGTATCCATGGATATGAAGTGCAGTATAGTATTGATAGTAGAGGCAGTACTGTACGTGCCTGCCTTTGAGAATAGTCTCTAATCTAGCTGTGTATGATATGTCTGAGACAGACAGTGCTCATGCCCCTCCACATCCTCTATGTCTCTCTCTGCTTTATATTCTGTCCCTGATGATTGCATGCTCCATGACCCTTCATTCCCCCTGTGTTATTACACTTGTCAGATGCTGGATCCATTCGGGAGCGCGGACAACTCGCTGTCGAGCAGCTGTCAATCAATAGATCAAGCCCTGGACAGGTGAGTCATCGTGCCGTGGGAGATTTACGAGTCTGTTTGGATCGGGATTTATGAAGCGCACATTCATCACGGAGCTTGTGCTTGATAATGCAAACGGGGATGGGAGGGTTACTTTTTAAACTTGTGTTTTATTACAATCCCTAGTATCAAAAAACCCTGCTTTTCATTGAGCATATTCCAGCAGTAGCTTAAACACCAACAACGAGACACATGAGCACATACTACAGATTTTTGTAAACAGTGTGAGAGGCCAGCAGAGCTCCCTGACCCCGCAGGAAGGAATGAGGTCACAGACACTCTTATCTGGACGCCTGGATTCCTCCGTTATCAAGAAATGGACACAAATGGGAGACTGAGTGGGGTGCAAGAACATGACGAATCACATGGGGGGGGGGGGGGAATGAATAGAGCCGTGAAAGAATGAGAGTGAGAGGGGGGGGGAATCAAAAAAGAAAAGTGAGGTTCAGAGAGCGGAAACGGCGCTACCTGCACGAGGCTTATCTGGGCTCCAGGCTGCAGAACAATGGCAGGAAACGAGTGCATGGAACTTTTCCCTGCGAGCGGGCATGCGTGCCCCTTATCCAGGGTCTCGTGGCCCCGCGACGCCCTGCGGTCAACAGAGACGTCACTCTCTGTCGGGTCGGGGGGGGGGGGGCAGAGGAGGGGGCGGGACACATTAACTGCATGTTGGAAGTTAGTTTCACTGCCACTTTTTAGCAATTTAGCACCACAGATGTCTCTAAATCCAGGTTTATTTGTGTATGTCGTGACTCTACCGGGACATGTCTCCATGCTTGAATGTTCAAAAAGCTCTGCAGACAATCAACATGCAGAGAAACCTATTTTACACACTACAGGAAAGGAAAAGTCATTTTTAACTTCTCCCCTCTTCTCTCTCCAGTCCTCCTTTCTCGCAGAGCAACCGGGACAACAATTACCTGAACCTCAACTACGAATACAAAGGTAAGAGAGGAGAAACCTGCAGCGTGTTCATCATTAGGCTGCTTTTTGATGCGGAGCCACGCCATCACGTTCACAATAAAAGTTCTGTTCGTGCTGCTCATGATAGCCTGATAAACAATCCCCCCAGGCGTCCTGAGATTACTAATGAGGCAGGGGATGATGTTACTTGATGTTTTTATCCGGCAGTAAATACTCCAAATGAAGAATGGGTTATTGTGGAGGTGTTTTAATACCTCGGTAGTATTTCTCGTGTCTCAGGAGGTGATGAAGCAGTGTGATGGCATCATAACTCTTCCTGCTCCATCTTCAACACTCTCCTCTGTGTACCCTTTGTGCACCTCATTTGTCTCCCGTCTCGCCTGCTTTTTTTTTCCTTCAAAACTCCTAATAGACATTGCTGCTTCCCTCTCTTTTTCATGATCACTTCCCTTCCTTGTCCCTCGGCTCCCTGTGAGTCCCTCTCCTTCAGAACGCAGATCAAATGGCTCAGGATGACAGATAACGCCGCACTAATCCTCACCAACAGACGCGCTGCAGCCGCTCTCTCAATCTGGTCATTTCTCTCCTCCCCCGCGCTGTACATTTAAAAAAAAAAGGGAGTGCTACACTTGTGTACACAAACTTTTGCAGCACTTAAAGACTCACTTGGGGCACGTACACACACACACACACACACACACACACACACACACACACACACACACACACACACACACACACACACACACACACACACACACACACACACACACACTCCCAGATGTGGAACTGTGTGGCCCTTCCTGCTGAGGGCTTCAGTATTTGTTTACCATTCCCTGTGAGTAGATTTTTCCTCTCCATCCCGCGCTGCCAAACACAAAAAATAACTCCCGTCTCCCTGGGATACGGCCACGAAAACAGCGTGAGGGGAGGCAGTCATCTGACAGAACAGCTGCTTTCAATTGCATCGCTCTCCCCTCAGTGTGTGTGAGTGTGTGTGTGTGTGTCGGCGCTCGCCTGCGTCAGCACTGCTCCCCACCTGCCTTTACTTACTGCTCCACTGGGTTCAGAGCTAACGCTAAGCTAGCACACATGAGCTGTTTCTCTCTTGGCTGCAGCGAGGCGATACACAGCTCTGTGTGTGTGTGTGTGTGTGTGTGTGTGTGTGTGTGTGTGTGTGTGTGTGTGTGTGTGTGTGTGTGTGTGTGTGTGTGTGTGTGTGTGTGTGTGTGTGTGTGGTGTGTGTGTGTGTGTGTGTGTGTGTGTGTGTGTGTGTGTGTGTGGTGTGTGTGTGTGTAGTTGTGTGTGTGTGTGTGTGGTGTGTGTGTGTGTGTGTGTGTGTGTGTGTGTGTGTGTGTGTGTGTGTGTGTGTGTGTGTGTGTGTGTGTGGTGTGTGTGTGTGTGTGTGTGTGTGTGTGGTGTGTGTGTGTGTGTGTGTGCCAGCCCTGCAGGGATGAGCAAAAGTCAGTGTGATTTTAGGCAGCAATATGTTTGTTTTTAAGAAGCTCTATGAAATGAAATCTGCTTAATTGAACGTGAAACTGTACATTTAGAAGTACTGTAACTATTAAAGGAGATTTTAGTTGTTGTTGAGGCTTTTTTAACTTCATTATTGCTCCCTCTTCAGGTCGCCACGGGAAAGGAGGGACTTTCCCTCGGCAGTTCCAGTTGCCCAATCGCAGCAAGGATTATGGAGACCGTAAGAAACCTGCTTAACAACAACACTATTGTTGCACAGATTGAAAAGACACCACTCTGTCTTTCATTTATTTATTTATTCAAAAGTTTGATTAAAAGTACAATCATAAGTCATAATGGAAACATGTGAAATGCAGTGTTGGAAGAAGTACTTTACCTGAGTAAAAGTACAAATACTATGGTCTTACCCCTCCTGTTGTCTTCGGGTCAAATCTGACCGATTTACTACTTTCATCAGTCATAACTTTTTTGTTTTACATTCGATTGACTTAAGGCTTTATGATATCCTTCACAGTAGACATTTGAACATATAACATTGCTGATCACCACTTTCATTGCATTTTGGATGATTTAGTCAACTTTGTAACACCATGGTGTTCCCGCCATAAATAAATGTAATTAGTAACCATCCGGATGTGCCCCTCCCCCCACATGGATCACACCTGGCACACGCAATACATGTTCAGTGTCTATTCTTTTTATATTTACTGCAGTGTTTCATGTATACCAGTAGTCTGATACAATATGTACAGTTTGAAAGGGTGTTAAAGGACATTTGGTGATGATTAATGGTTTTTGTGTTAATGTAATAGCAGTTAAAACAGGACCGGTCAAATTTGACCGCGAACACCAAAGTAAGGGGGGGAACGAAGACAATAGGAGGGTTAAAATACTCCATTACAAGTCAAATTCCTGATTTAAAAATTCTACTTCAATAAAAGCACATACTGTAGTTATTAAATTATCAAAATATACAGAAAGTAAAAGTACTCATTCTGCACAATTCCTGATTTAATATACAGTATTATCAGCTAAATATACTTCAAGCACCAAAAGTAAAAGAACTGTTTATACAGAATGGATCTGGATATGTAGTGGAGTAGATGTATAAAGTAGCATTTCATGGACATACTTAAGTTAAGTACAAATATGTGAGAAAAGTACTTGAGTACAATACTTGAGTAAATGTACTTTCCATCACTGGTGAAATGGGACACCCCAATACGCTTGAGAATACTCGCCAAGACATTAAACATTAAGTGTTAACATTGCATATTATGAATACATCTAGAATTGGAGAGGGTTTATGTATAATAGAGAAACACTACAAGGCAAATACATGTGCTCAAAACCTTACAACTAAACTACTAAAGCCATAATCAGTGTACACATTGGTATAATAGGTCAAACACATTATAAGGGAAATTAACGGTATATATAAATACATAACGGAGTACACTTGTACAGAAGTCCACAGCAGGACAAAACACACATTTTTTGCGGTGCCTCCTCCTCACAACTTTTTCATCACATCCAGATCAAATATCTCCAAATATGTGCCTCTGTCCTCCCGCTGTGGGTAGACTTGAAGTGCTGGCTTGCTGTTCCAGGCAGCTGCTTGTAATTGCTTACTCAGAGGCTAACCTTGGCTAGCAGTGATTTACGTTTCCCTGCGGTGAACCCGAAGTTGTATAAAAACACAGCGCCCTGCTTCCTGTCTGAGAGGAAGTGGGACGGAGCGGCGAGAGGAACTCTGCTCCTTCTCGGCCAAGAGCTCGCTTTATGCACAGTAACATCTGTAGTGTACTGTAACTGTAAGACAACATCAGAATTTACAGAATTGAAAGGAACAAGATATGATGTGTCTTGCACTAACGCACATTCTCAAGATATTGAAGTGACTGTTATTTTGTATATATTGATTGTTGTGTTTTTATTTAGGTCTTAAATGTAAAGGTCTGCACATATAAAAATGTTTTTGATTGTGTATATATATATATATTTGCACACATATTTTTATATATATTTGTTTTTATATTCAGGATTGTGGGAAACGGTATTTCAATCTCTCTGTCTGTACCTATGGTCTGTACACACAAAATGAAAGATTGACAATAAAGTTGACTTTGACTTTGATGTGTGTGAAGTCATTAATGTGTCTGTGTGTTTTCAGGACGCAGGACACTTCCTCGCAGCTTCATGCCGCAGGAGAACCTGTTCCAGCTGGTTCCTTCCAGCCGGACGCGCAGTTACAACGGGGAAAACACGCTGCAGTACGGCGACCTGCGCTCTCTGGGACGCACCGCCGAGAAGAGCTGCCAGCGAGGGTCGGCCAAGTGTAAGTAGATCCCTGAAAACTTAAAGTGTCAGGAAGCAGTGAACACCAAAACACATAGACGGACTCATACGAAGTGCATTTGTTGTTCATCTGTGTTATACAGGTCTGGTTCCTGCGGATAATAAGACATAAACCAGTTTAGACTTGTTTTCTTCTGCAGGTCAAGAGTAGGGCTGCAGGAGTATCCACGTAGGAGTTTGAACTTGTATACCCAGTCCATTGTTAAAGGCGTCCTGGGTGCACAACAAAATATAGAGACATAAAAACTTACATAATGGATTTTGCAGGCAATTTACATTCACACTATATAAAACCCCCAAAGGCCTCTTTAAATTGATGATGTATACAAAAGAATGACAAGAATTTGTGTAACGTCATGACAGATTAAGCTCTTCCAGTAATATGGCTGATAAGATAAGAATTCCTCACAGTGATAGGGAGTATAACTAATGTTAAGTAACACAGTGAGAATTCCCCTCTCATCGTCAATCCTCTCGCTCTCTGATCACATCTGTCTCCAGTCAGTCCTCACTCTGCGCTGCCCAGAAATTGTCTTTGTCACGAGACAAAAGCCCAGGCGTCTGCGTCTGCTCGCCCACACGAGACCAAACCGTCTAAACCGCAGCAGAAAGGCCTGTTAATACTCAAAGTCTCAGAGAGTGTGAGGAGGTGGAGATGCTCTCTTTGTGGTTATATATCCCCATCTGAGAGGGTCTGCGGTGGGGATTATTTAACAGGGTTTCTGGTGGGAGAGCTACAGTGGATTTTGACGCATGCTTCAGTGTTTTTTTTTTTCAGTGTTTCAGTGTCTGCCTCCAGGGGCTTAGCAAGTCCAATGATTTACTGGTTTTCATCATGCGGTGTGTCTGGTTTCTGCAGCGCCGCGGGCTCCAGTCAACTGGCGTCAGGGAAAGCTTCTGGGGAGGGGGGCGTTCGGGGAGGTTTACCTCTGCTACGACGCTGACACCGGGCGCGAGCTGGCCGCCAAGCAGGTGCCCTTTGACTCCGACTGTCAGGAAACCAGCAAGGTAAACGAGACCGTCCTCACACTCTGCATGTTTTAAAGGTCACCTATTGTGCAAAATCCTCTTCTCCAAGTGCCTTTCCTAATTGAATGTCCTCTCTGCAGGAGGTGAACGCTCTGGAGTGTGAGATCCAGCTGCTGAAGAACCTGCGTCACGACCGCATCGTTCAGTACTACGGTTGTCTTCGGGACCTCGAGCAGAAGAAACTCACCATCTTTGTGGAGTTTATGCCCGGGGTGCGTACTCTGCGTTTCATTTGAATACTGCTCAGCTTTTATAGGTCCCCAACAGCCAGGCAACGAGGTATCATTGAGACACGATGATTCGTCATATTGTGGCAGCAGAGATAGGCACAAACAAACATCCAATCGAACCCCATAATAGCCACATCTGCTTCAAACCAGTTTTTGAAATGTCCCCAGCTGTCAGTAAACATGTCCTGTGAGGTTGATGTCAGCACCACAGCGCAGTTTATGAGATCATTTTCTGTCTAAACGAGCGCCTTAATGAGCTGCTGTCGCCCCAGAGCCTGGTTTTAATATTTCCTGGGCGATCTTTTGTTTTTTTTCCCCGGGTGGCGTTGAGCGTCTTAGTCACACATTGTCTGGAAACTGGAAATGTTTATGTTAGTTTTTCTGGCAGTGGGAAGGTGACAAAGCCAAGTGTTTGTGTGACTGCGGCTCTGCGCGGCTGACCGATAACACTTTAATCGCCCAGAGAGAGTAGGTTGTTCCTCTGAGAGCTCTGGAGGGGTCCAGTTTTTAGTTGAGTCCGTAACTGCGTCACAGGTGTCACTGGATCAGGTCCTGCCATTTCCTCCCGAGGAACTGAGACAGGAAATGAAAGGAAATGCAGGACATGGAAAGGTGTTTGGACTCGAGCAGATTTCTCTCGACACATTGTGTGTTTATATACTTTGAAAACTGGCTCTGAGGCTGCTTGCACAATAAAACCAAAATGAATCTGCTACAGCTGGAACTGTTTTTGCAAGTATCAAACACATCCTTCTATACTTCCATACCCCACAGCTGTAAGAATAATTTAAGTTAACACTGAAGCCAACATTAAGGTCATAAATCTAGAGAATGCAATTCCTGAATAAATATCGGTGTGAGTGCTGTATGCTGAAAAGCTGAAAATGCTGGCTTAGATTTTGAAGAATGATAGTTCATATTTCTAGAATAATTAAAGTTATGAATGTCCGGAGTAATAGCACGCATTGTCCTTATTTAGCAGCCTGTTTTGATGTTGGAACAGAGTATCTGCGATGTAAAATGTAGGAGAAGAAGGCAATCAAAAAACAAGGGGGAATATTCGCAACCAACTTCCTCAACCTTTCCTAAACTCCACTCTTTGTGTCTCCGCAGGGCTCGATAAAGGACCAGCTGAAAGCCTACGGGGCTCTGACGGAGAAGGTGACCCGCAGATACACCCGGCAGATCCTCCAAGGAGTGTCCTACCTGCACAGCAACATGATCGTACACAGAGACATCAAAGGTAACACCGACTGCTCGCTACTGAAAGTCAGGGTCGGTTAAATTGGATTAGAAAAACCAGGGGACATCCTCACTTGAGGTGACTTCATGGCTCATTTTGCAGGCAGGAAAAAGCTCCATTCATTCTCACATATCCTTCATTTGGTTATTCACCGGCTCTGGAAAGTATGTGCTATTTTGATCTCCCCTTTGAGATATGTTAGGCTTCATGCTGGTGAAAATCGGCCAGTCTAAAAATGTACAACACCGGATGGAAAGGCTGTAGTTTGGCCAAGAAGAGGGAAACATAACCGTCTACTGGGGAAAAAAGATAGCATGTCTCACAGGGCACAGGACAGCATACAGTATGTGGGTGGGATTTTCCACTTAAATGCATGTGTAATATACGGTGTGTGCTCATCTAACGCACAAGAGCTCCACTGTGCAGTAAAGGAGCTGTCAGCACAATCAAATAGAGCTTGGCATCGCAGTCCATGAAATGAATGTGGATGTAATGTTCCAAGGAGCCTTAAAGGTGATTTATCGGAGAGTCTCACATTGTCCCAAGGCAGTGGAAACAGGTTCAAGAAGTTAAGGTCACATATTGAGTCTCTCAGAGGGTGTGGAGAGTGAGTGGCGTTCATTAGTCACTGATCAAACAGAGCCCGAAGGAAACGGGGTAGACATGGAGGAACATTTGTGAAGCAGGAGGGTGTTGGGTCCGATCCACATGGAGCAGACTGTTGATTTTAGTAAAAGACATTCCTCTCATGTGAGAAAAGTGTTTGTAAAGTCGAGTCAAAGTGCTAATTATGTGCATCTGCAAGCGTTCAAACAGCGCCGACGTGTCAGGCCATCGGAAAAGTTTACCTTTTACGTGGTTTTTCGTTGAAGTGCTGGCACATGCACTCTGTAACCGCACTGTAACTTCATTATTTGAACCGTCAGAGAAACCCTTAAAGGTTATTGACGGCCCCCCCGAGACCCCTGAATAACGCTGAGCTCATTTTGTTTGGTTCCTCCAGGTGCTAACATCCTGAGAGACTCGACAGGGAACGTGAAGCTGGGAGACTTCGGAGCCAGCAAACGTATCCAGACCATCTGCATGTCAGGCACAGGGATCAAGTCTGTCACCGGCACCCCCTACTGGATGAGCCCCGAAGTCATCAATGGGGAGGGATATGGCCGGAAAGCTGATGTGTGGTAAGGAACATCAGATGGGACTGTTATGTACTATTGGATACAAATAGTCATTTTTTGGGGTAAAATATGACTTTAAATGACATATAAGTGGCAGAAGTAGCTCAGTCTGTAGGGACTTGGCTTGGGAGTCCTGATTGGACCATAACATACAGAGTGTGTATTAACTAATGCCTGATTGAAAGTTGTAGATGTTAGAAAGATATTTTTTATTTAGTTATACTATTCACAGATTTTATTTGTATTTGTGAAATATGTTTCCAGACCTTTTTTATACTTTTTTTTGTAAGTTACAATTTTGCATTCGTGGAAGGTGCTTCAGATTTACACACGGATTATTGATCTGTATACACAAATAATATTGAGACAAATCTACCTCCATACCTTGGGAGTAAATACATTTGAAAATATAAAAAAATACGTCTTATTCTTGAAAAAAACTAATTTTAATTAATTTCTTATTTTATAGTTACTTACTTTGATTTGATCCTTAATTGTATTAATCTATCTTATGCTCTCTGTCCTCAGGAGTGTTGCCTGCACCGTGGTGGAGATGTTGACTCAGAAACCTCCGTGGGCCGAGTACGAGGCCATGGCGGCAATTTTTAAAATCGCCACGCAGCCTACGAAGCCCATCCTTCCCGACTCGGTGTCGGACGCGGCGCGGGACTTTCCTGGCGGCAGGTGTTCGTGGAGGAGAAGTGGCGGCCGACTGCGGACGTTCTGCTCAGCCACCCGTTCGTTCTGGGCTGTTTCTGAGGACCTTCACCCCTTCTCTCCCCTCCTCTCCTCTCCGGGCCTCCCCCTCCAACTTCCTGCCCGGAAATCTATCACCAGTGTCTGCCTTGCCAGGAACGCTGCATCCCTCATGCAAACTACACTGAAAAAACTGAAACGTTGACTTTAATTAAATGTATTATGTCAACAGATTTCACATAACTGTATTAGGTTAGTTGAAAGCAATAGTATTAAGTTTAAATACAAAATATCAAGTTCAACATAATAATAGATAGATAGATTGATAGATTGACACTTTATTGAAGTAGTAGAAACTTATATACATAGGATAGTATATCAATTACAGATGTAGGTAGCTGTTGTGCAAATGGTTGTAGAGCGGGAGAAACTGAAACTACGGAGCTGAAATTATTATTTGTATTATTGCTTTCAACTAACCTAATACAATTATGTGGAATCTGTTGACAAAATACTTTTATTTAGAGTAAGCATTTCAGTTTTTTCAGTGAGATGAAGCCTGATTCGTCACCAAGAGGCCAGGTCGACGTCGAGTGTTGCCCCAAGAGGGGAACAACGAGAAAGCCCTTAGTGGCTTCACAAGCTACTGACTGAAAGAGCAGGACACGTGACCAAGAGCTGTGACGCCTCAAGATTTTGGGGGATTTTTACTCATATACTGCCGCAGAACAATGTCCAGGTTCAGCCTGAGAGCAATGTCGCCCACATCTGATAGTAGTGGAAGTCAGTGGTTCCCAACCGGGGGTACAGGGGGATATGTAGAAAGATTATGGATTGCGATTTATTCCCACACAAAAAACACTTTTATATCAATTTTCATAAGTCTGGTATAAGTGTTTTAATAAAAGACTGATAGTGGGAAGTGAGTTTCAATATAATTTCTTCTGCTAAAATAACTCTAAATGTCAAGGGTGAGTTACAGAAGGGATTTTCATGAGCAGTTGGGTTGAATTCAATTACAAAGGGTTTAATACAAGAACAATGTAGGCGATGATCACAGATGAGTGAGGGGAAAGGTTGGGAACCCCTGCTGTGAGTTACTCATCAGCTGTGTGTAGAGATGGTAGAATATATTTTATATGACATACAATACAAAGTTTTCTATCGTCACCTGAAAAAATGGTCAATGTATTTTGTCAACGCCTTACAATAAGAGTTTGTAAGTAAGAATGGTCTTTTTTTCCACGGCACTCAGAAACCCCCCCGTTTTTAGAATGGATTGTGCACTTTTGATATCATGCATTGAAACATTTCCAACGTGCAGGATAATCAACGGAGATATTTTTCTATTTGAAGCATTTTCTTTTTATATCATTGAGAATTGTTGTGTCAAGAAAAAAAAGAACCCAAACTTTTTTTGCATCAGTTAATAAGCAATACCAGCTGTACTGTTGGAGTCATTCCAGCTTCCCATGCAGTGAGCCTTGAGTCCATTGGAGAAACAGTAGCCAAAGAAAAAGGGTCAGAAACTTTGGGCTATGTTCATGTTCAGTATTAGTCATTATGGATCGATTTCTCACCTCAGAGCCCAATACGCCTTTTCTATGTTACGGCAGCTTGGTGCACAGTAGTCTGCACAGACCAAATCACATTGTATCAGTATGAAAAGAAATTCAATTGAAGTTTTTTGTTCAGTATGAATCCAGTCACCCCATGCCTTTACTTTGATTTAATGACCACTTGACGCGACACCTCACTCTCCAATAATACCGCCAAAAAGGGGTCAAGTTGGAAATCCAGAGCTAAATGCTGACATCTTTCAAATGGAGGTGTAGTGATACGGTGGCACTTAAAGAATGATCAAATCTTTTTTCGACCCTTGTCAGTGCCTTATCTGAATCTGCTTGTAAACACTTAATGTTCACTGCCAAAGCAGAGCTTTTTTATAATAAGGTGAGCAAAAGAGAGCACACACAGGATTTGCTGAACTTCTTTTATATGAAAAAAAGATTATACTGTAAATACATATTGTTCTGCACTTTTGTATGAAATTTCTTTACATTCTATACAAATCTATTTGATGAAATAGCTACGTTATACAGTAGGTTGTACTGTGATTTAGACGGGAGTGTCTCTTTGAGAGCTGTCAGTAGGCAGTGAGACGGCTGGAGGCTTTCGATTGGGACAGTTCGTTTTGTCTTGATGACGAAGCCTTGAAACATGAAATGTATCAAGTCATTGATCTTTTGTACATTTAACTTAATAAATCCAAGGTCTAAGACTACTTCCCTGTGTACTGTTGTTTGGTTTTGAAGTCACAAAGCACTTATAATTATCTTACATACATGTATATTTTTTTTATCAGAGCTAATATCTATTTGCACCACATTTATATGCTTTTGTCATATTATACTGTACCTAGTTTTTATATGTGTAATATTTAATGTTATCATAGTTTTTTTTTTAACTAGTTTTTTGCAGCACACACCAAGGTAAATTTAATATTTAGATTTTCCTCCCACAAAAGCTAATTCTTGATCCTTTTGTGTTTCTACTTCGTTTAAATCATAGCTCAAACGCTGACAAAGTGAGAGAAATATGCTTTAAAAAACACTTTTGCAGTCAAATTGTCAGGCTTTTTAATTTAGTTTCATAGGGACAACTATCATCAAAATATTTGTAAATGGATTGGTTTGAAATGATACACTCAGTGGCCACATTTACACAATCTAATGCAATCCATTGCCTTTCCATTAATTGTGTTTCTTATTCCCTCCTTTGTGTATGAAAAGTTTACAGTTACAAATAATATCAAGCAGAAGCGATAAGCAAAAGTCCTGCATTAAGGTGTGTTGTTTTCATGTTTTTTCTATGAATTGTACCTTGTAAAATGTCTAAAAAGTGCCCTATAAATAATATGTATTAAGTAACCATTACACTTAACTTGTGCAAAAAGCTGTTTAATATATTTCCACTCATAATCTATTAATGAAGGCTATTTGAGTAAAAAAGGGTGCATTATTCAGTTGTGAGAGCAACAAATTAGGGGGAAATGTGTTGGTGTTTTCTTTACTATCCTCTTGTATTCCTGAGCAGCTGTTGAACAACCAGCTTATAAAACCTGGCGTTTTGTAACGACGTGACAGATACGTGTCACACGGAGCCCCGACACACCGGGAGGAGCTGCTCTCTCACACCGAGCACTGCTGGGTACTATTAGCTACATTAATATATAATATACAACTATGTCTACCTCCCGTACAATCATATGTTTACTGAGAAACGACTTGCGTCTGCACGACAACGAGGTGAGTCTGAATCTGTACCGAGTCTTTTATTATGAAATTCGTCATTTAACTTTAAAGAACCTAACGTTATTTGACTTAAAGTAATGTGTGAACATGTCTGTTGCACAATATGTGTCCTTTCTTTAAAGCAGATATTAAACATATTATGTAGAAATCTATGTTTTATGTTAGCAGAAACAACAACACCACTTCCGGCCTTCCTTCAGAATAAAAGCCTCTTCTTCAAAATAAAGAGACCAGCAGCTTTGAATTAGGAACAAACGTTGCTTATTACATGTCTGAATATTCTCCACGAACTTCCTTTTGTATCCACCTTTAATAAACAGTATCAAGTCTAGCTATCAAAAACAAAACCACAGACGTACCGGAGACTGTACTACATCCGGTGGCATATTTCAAAATAAAAGACCGCCTTCCCGAAGTGGAAAAAATATTTTTCTTATTTTTAGTGTCCTTCAAATAAAATATCAGGTAAGGTGTTTTCAAAACTTGCTAGCAGAGTTTAGTTTCCTCTCACAATTAACTTAAAGAAGCAATTTTTGTATACACATCAAATGAAATGTGCTTGCTGTAATCATGCAATTATCACTTTTTCTAATAGAGGATGATATATTAACCTACACTATTTGCTCTCTACTTACAGCTTTTCCACTGGGCTCAAAGAAATGCAGATCACATCGTCCCGCTGTACTGCTTCGACCCCAGACATTATGTGGGAACGTATAACTACAACCTGCCAAAGACTGGGCCTTTCCGCCTGCGCTTCCTACTGGACAGCATCAGGGACCTCAGGCACACGCTGCTCCACAAGGGCAGGTAACTAAACAGCTTGTTTGTTGACAACATACGTGCATATATAATGGCCTATTTAAATTGCTGACTCCCCAGAGTTCAGCTGTGTCCTTGTAATATCAGTAACGACCTATAATCTAATTACAAGACTCATGAATGTAATTATCACGATGTTGTTACACAAATACTCGGTACAGACCTTGTCCTCAGCTTTCTAGGATTCAGCTGAAACAGGATCAGGACACAGCTGAGCTTATAGAGGGTTGTGTTTATGTTAACACGGTGCTGCACACACTGTTCCTGTCAATTCTCAGGTCATCCAGCGGGAAGTTAGTCGATTTCTAATCAGGATGCAGCTTGCCTGGCATGGTGGCTTATATTTATGTGTGTGTGTGTGTATGTGTGTGTGTGTTTTTGTGTGACAGCAACCTGGTGGTGAGACGGGGGAAACCAGAGGAGGTAGTCGCGGACCTCATAAAGCAACTGGGCTCCGTCAGTACCGTGGCTTTCCATGAAGAGGTAGTTTTAACTGGTTTCTCTTAATGTAATCTTTATTGCCTCGTGGTGATTTGGACAGTTTTTCCTTCATGTGCTCATGTTGTGTTCCAGGTGAGTTCGGAGGAACTGAATGTGGAGAAACGAGTGAAGGATGTCTGTGCACAGATGAAGGTCAAAGTTCACACCTGCTGGGGGTCCACACTGTACCACAGAGACGATCTTCCATTTAACAACATGTCCAGTGAGAGGATACGGCTCTCTCCAGAACAATGTCCTGTTGTTGATCGTGGCAAACTTGGTTAGGCTGCCTGATGTGTAGGTGAGAGGATATGGCTTGCTTCGGTAAAGCATCCAAGTTGGCATACCGTCCTGTTGTTGATGTGGCAATTTTATTAGGGATGTGGATTAGGAATTTGTACACAAAAAGTCCCATTTTAATAAAAGTGAGATAACCTTTTCTTTCAAGCAGGCACCTCCAACAATGTAACATGCACATATGTATAAAAGGCATAACCAATGAGCCTAACATGTCTCCTTTCAAAATGTGTTGTCAATATTATAATTTCTTAGGCTGCCTGATGTGTACACTCAGTTCAGGAAGGCGGTGGAGAGCCAGAGCCAGTGAGACCCCTGATCCCAACACCTGAGCAGCTGAAGGCCCCTCCCCCAGGGGCTGGAGGAAGGAGGCATCCCCACAGCTGAAGACCTGGAACAAACAGGTAACGGCTCCTAAAAGTATATGGATCATTCATAAGATAAGACTTTATTTATCCCGAAGGAAATTGTTGAGCCAGAGTTACAAAAATACAACCAACACAGCAGCATGATAGAAAAACTGTACACCAACAGTGCAGTAAAAGAGCAATTAAATATCTACAGGACACAGACGGTGACAAAAGGCAGACTGCTGAGCGTAGACCTCCTCAGTGACTGCTAGCAGCAGCAGAGTGGCTCAATTTTCATGTATATGATTAAGCTTTTTACGATTCTGCTGGTCTTAATGCACCAGGGGGAGAGTTTAACGGGTCGAATATCAGTGGGATGCTAAAATGCTTCCCTTGTTTTATTCTTCCAGAGCCTGTGACTGATCCCCGATCAGCCTTCCCCTGCACTGGAGGAGAAAGTCAAGCTTTGGCCAGACTTAAACACTATTTCTGGGACACTGTGAGTACATCTTCCGCAACAACCAGACATATTAATGTATTTTCTATATGCACTGTAGCTGTAATAAATATATGTTTTGCAGAATGCAGTTGCAACCTACAAGGAGACTCGTAACGGCTGATAGGTGTGGATTATTCCACAAAATTTTCATCATGGTGAGTGTTTTTGTTTCATGTTTTTTCTGAATAATGTTCCATTCCTATAAACATATCACTAACGGTGCATCTCTGGCATTCTGCAGGCTGGCGTTGGGTTGCATTTCACCCAGGTACATCTACCATCAGATCCAGCAGTATGAGAAGGAGCGGACAGCCAATCAGAGCACATACTGGTGAGCACACACTCGGATAAGTCGAAATAAAATCCATTCCATCAGAGGGTGCAATATGATTACAAATGTGTCCTCGCTGCTGTCTTTCAGGGTCATTTTTGAACTTTTGTGGAGGGATTACTTCAAGTTAGTCGGCGTCAAGTACGGGATCAGACTGTTTCAGATCAAAGGTAAAATGCTCAAGGTTTTTTTTTTTACATTTATACTCAATGAATGTTTATTGAACTCATGATAATTGTATTCCAGGACTTCAAGAAAAATCAATTCCATGGAAAAAGGACATGAAGCTTTTCGATGCATGGAAAGGTTTGTGGCATTTTCCCCTCACTATTTAAGAGATGCATTCAAAGCGTATGTATCAGTAGGTGAAATATATTTCATGTGTTCTTACAGAGGGACGCACAGGAGTTCCCTTTGTGGATGCGAACATGAGAGAGTTGGCCATGACGGGCTTCATGTCCAACAGGGGGCGGCAGAATGTTGCCAGCTTCCTCACAAAGGACCTGTGTCTGGACTGGAGGATGGGAGCGGAGTGGTTTGAATACTTGCTGGTAAGTGGCTTTTAAATCAGTATAGAGAAATCAAACTGTATTTTTAGGATATCAATTATAGGGTGATACTTATTGTATTATTGATATGTTGTGGAATAACTAGTTGTTTGAGTAAGTTATACATAGATGGTAATACTTTCAGGTAGTAAGATGGCGCCGCTGATGATGGCTGCCGTTTACTTTTCGTTGTGTGCTTTTAACTTTGTCCGCCAATTACTTGCAGACTATTCTGTACAATTTGTATTATATTTTATTTGTATTTACTTGCACTATTATCTGTTTTATTGTGTTGCACTGTTGGAGGAGCCTGTGACCTCATATTTTCATTGTCATAACTACACTGTAGCTATGCACACATGACAATAAAAGCCTTGAATCTTGAGGTGTTTTAAATGTCCCTCCACAGATCGACCATGATGTCTGCAGTAACTATGGTAACTGGCTTTACAGCGCGGGCATCGGAAACGACCCCCGAGGAGAGAACAGGAAGTTCAACATGATCAAGCAGGGCCTGGACTACGACAACAATGTGTGTTTGAGAAAATCAAAGTCAACTTTATTGTCAATCTTTCAGTTTGCTCGACAGACGGAGAGATCGAAATACCGTTTCCCACAATCCCGAATACAAAAACAAATGTAAAAATATGTATGCAAATCTATATATAATCAAAAGACACATTTATACATATGCACACATTAAGACCTAAATAGAAGCACAACAATCAATATATACAAAATAACAGTCACTTCAATATCTTTGAGAATGTACATTAGTGTGAGACTGTCCGTAGCAGCGTAAAAAATGCATGAATTGTTGGTTTTGTTTTCCATTGACATAACTAAGTGAGGAAAGTTGCAGTGTTTCCAGCCACTGATGGAGTGTTTTTTACCCATGATTCAGGGTGACTATGTGCGGCAGTGGGTCCCTGAGCTGCAGGGCATCATGGGAAGTGACGTGCACACACCCCGGACCCTCAGCACCGCCTCTTTGTCACACGCTAACGTCTGCCTCGGAGAGACCTACTACCCCGCCCCCATCGTCATGGCGCCTGAATGGAGCCGACACGCTAACAAGAAACCGGTGGGTTTTTAGAGAAAAAGGGAAGTGGATAGTGAGAGGAGGAGGAACTGCTAGAGCTGCAAAGCTTTTTTAACTGATGGAGGGAAACAACAGTGTGAGAAAGTACATTTACACTGCTACTTGTTTGTCTTTGTCAGAGGGATGTATTGCATTTTACTTTGACTACTGCATTTATTTCTATATCTAACGTCCTTTAAAACGTCAAAATCAACTCAAAATCCATCGGACCACAGGGAGGAAGAATATGACCACTTTCTGGTTCTAACTGTCATTTTAGAAACTGAAAATATCAGATATGCATTCAGCATCCCTTAAATGACCCCCAAAATCACGCCAATATTTCCCAAATATCAAGCCATTTGTTAACTATAGCCCATTTACTGTAGGCTATAATGCTAATTGATGCTAGTTAACGTATGTTAATGTGCACATTGTCCAACATATGGAAGTTAGCGTCCGGCCTCTTTCTACAGTATGTGCGTGGGACGTGTACTATACATTTCTAACATAAAACTTTCTAAAATGTACTTTTACTTTAGGTACTTTTAGCAGATATTACTTCTTCGTTTTTAATTGGTAGGATTTCCAATGCATGATTTTCACTCTGATAGAGTTTGAGGAAATGTTGCATCACTGCCTTCTTTGAAACCATCACTCTACATGTTTTATTCCTATTATTTGCAGAGTGGCGCGGGGCCTTCAGCCAGAGGAAAGAAGGGCCCGTCTCACACTCCCAAACAACACCGTGACAGAGGCATCGATTTCTATTTCTCCAAAAGCAAAAACCTGTGATGCCCTCACAGTGAACACAGGAGGGAAACTCCAGTGATGCAAACTTGGACTGTTGCTGGAAACATCTGCGTTCCCTCCTGGGATGTTGCTCGAAAGGTTTTCAGATGAGGGTTTTAGGAAATGCACGTTCCTACTTATGTTTGAGTGCACAGACGTGTCTTATCTAAACGTATATCGTATCACAAAGCGCCTCTTATGGCTGCGCTTCCTGTTGGACTGCAGTCATAGTGAAAGCAACTCTGTGGTTTTCCTGCAGTCAGTCAGATGATGATTTTACTGCAATGTATTTTTTTTAAGTTGCCCTTTTATGTCTGTTACACAATAAAATTGCAAAATTGAGTTGTTTTTTGTCGTGATTTTGTTGTGTTGACAACTTGTTGAGTTTTAATAAAAATTTTGTAATGCAATGCTTTATAGGGTAAGTTGTTTTAGGTGCTTTAACATACATAATAACACAAGACTTACAGAAAATATGACATTTAATTCAAGTCTTCATACGTTGTGTTTGTAACAAAATCTTTATTGTAAATTTAGTGGAGTAAAACGTACATAATATTGTTCTTTTTAATTATTTTGTAAGAGTATAAAAGTGACACAGAAGGAAAACACTCGAGTAAAGTCTGAGTATTTTAAATATTGACTAAATACAGTTGGGCTACTTGAGTAAATGTAGGAGAAGGCAAAATAGGCAACAGAATGAATACAATACAATTAAAGAAATCCATCAGTTAAAGTAAGAAATAAGTCATTAAAAAATATAAGCAAAATAAATAAACATTGAATACAAATAATGACTAATAAAAGAGGGTATTGCAGGTTGAAAAGCCATGTTCAAAAGTGTTTTCTCAGCAACAACCCTCTCTTAAAGGAATACCGACAGTTAAATCATTTAATGTACTTTTTAGAGTGTGTGTGTGAACAGTGGATCTCCTCCCCGCTGTGACGCAGTGTTCGCATCACTTCCTCGTTCTGTTATCAGGTTGTCAGTCTTTCGCCACAATGTCCTTTATTAGTGTTTAAAAACTCTCCACAAACTTCCCAAAACATGGCGTGCGTGGACTCGGAGGTGGACTTATGGAGTATTCCTCTGGTCGCCCTGAATGTAACGGTGAGGAAGAAGCTGGGTCTGTATCTGAACCCGAAGAACACGGTGGCTGCGGACTGGACCGCTGTTGCGGAGGCCATGGGCTTCTCTTACCTGGAGATAAAGAACCATGAGGCGGCCAGAAGTCCTGCTCAGTCGGTCCTGGAGAACTGGCAGGCCCGGAGCTCAGAGGCCTCCGTGGGGAAGCTGCTGTCCGTCCTGACCAAGGTGGAGAGGAAGGACGTGGTGGAGGACCTGAGACCCCTGATAGGTGAGGAAATGTTGCTAAATGCTTATGTTGTTGGTGCAATTATGAAGCAATGTCATGTAAAAGTTATGCTTGGATCTGTTTTCATCGACTCCAGGAAGTGATTCACATGCCTGAAATCCCATATTATAAAAACTATAGTATTTACACATTGTTCTAACAGCCTGCTGTGCTAGAGTCTAGACATAACATCAGTTCAGCTGTTCTCAGTGTTTCAGCAAATGGGTGCTAATTCTGGATGACTTTAGAAAGACACTTGAGAAAGTCCTTTGATTGGCTAAACACAAAAAAATAGACAGAAAAGACTGCTAATAGACAACAAATGTCCACACACAAAGATAAACAATCCCCAAAAGAGATGCATAACGACTACAGACACACCAAACACCAACAAAAAGAAGCAAACCCTCCACAAAGTGATTTAAATGCTACCAAAAAGAATCTATTACTTTTAGACAGTCCTAAGTAGTCACAGATGTGACGTAATTTACATCATTTCCTGTTATTGACTCCTTAGAGTGTGTTGACTATATAAATAAGAATAGCTTACTTTCTTTAACTTCCAAAGGCTATATCTTATGCAAACATATGTGTCGTGGAGATTACTAGGTATTACAATACCCTATACAGAGAGAGATAAAATGCATCTGGAAGAGATACAAACAAGTACAAAAACAAGCAGGAAAACACAGAGACACAACAACATCACTACGAGACACAAATGTACAAAAACCACCACAAAGAGAGACAAAACCGCCCCCCTACAAAATGGTACTAGACCAGAAACATACAGCAACCACAAAGAACCAAACGTAGCCTAACTGCAAAGAGGCAAAACATAACTTTGAAGGTCCCATGTCATTTCCTCTGATCATAACTCCATTGCTGAGGTCTACTAGAATAGATTCACATTGTTCAATGTTCCAAACTCACATTGGTTTTCTCTGTGTAGTATGTGTAATCACTCTCTGTCCTAAACGGCTTGTTGGAGCTCTGCCCGCCCCCCCCCCCCCCCCCTCCCTATGAGCCCAGTGTGCTCTGATTGGTCCTCCACCGTTACAGCGGAACATCAGTGATTATGTTTACAATGGCGTTTGTTAGCAACCAGAAAATGACACCAGTGATGACAAACCGATGAGAATGCTGCGTGGGGTCTGGGTGCCGTGTTGGCGGGACGTTGCGGGCTGCTTGCTCGCCCTTTGAGGCTCGAGGAGCGGACAGTGTGAGCTGGATTACTGGTGTCGGTTGCTGCGTGGGGTCTGCGAGACAGCGAGACACCGCAGAGCTCAGCTGAGCACAACACACGCAGGGCGGATCTACCGGGGTGGCATGGGGTGGCAACTGCCACCCTAAACAATAGCCTTGCCACCCCAGTTGGCATCTTTGTTTTGAAAGAAAAGTTGTGGCTCATCGGACATTTATGAGAAAGATCTCTAATGTCCGAGTGCAAGTGAATGCAGCACAAGACGCGAGTCTTGTAACCCCTCCCCCGGCCTGGCGCGAGATGTGGAAATATGATTGGTGGCGAATTCACTTGAACGGGGGGACGGCGGGCAAAACGAGAAGCCTTCGGACTCAAGTAGACGGAAGGAATGAGGTATTT